CCACTCACCCCTTCTCTCACCCCCTCCCAACCTCCAGCTTATCTTGGTGCCTTCATGCCTAACAGTGGTTGGATCTCAGAGGGAACGGGAGGATTCAGGGTGTGGATCTCAGGACCACTTGTCCCTAAAAGGAGACTAGAACAGATGTGTGCAGACCAGGGCTGCCCCTGGGGACTCTGAACCTCAGTCACTCATGAGAGGCAGGAAGCCCGGATATGAAGAGGGGAGCCCCTTGTTTTCAGAGCACACCTCTCATTCTGGAGTCAGCCTACTTTACCCACGGTCATCAAACGTCCAGGGAGCCCTTCTGGGGGCATGGCCCAGGCCAAGGCCCCAAATACTGCACATCCTGTTAAGATAAATACAGAAATGAGAGGGTGGTGGCAGCTGGTAGTAAAGGGGTGACAGACCTTCTGGTAGCCACCCCTAAACCGGTCAGTGAAGGTTCTTCTGGGGGTGTCTTGACTTCTCAAGTGGGCAGGGGAATCAGAGCCACCCTGGTCAACCTCATGCTGTGCGTCCAGGACCTTTCTTTCCACCGCGTCCCATGACAGACCACCCGTTCCATGAGACACTTTGCATTTATAATCAAATGCCACTTTCTCTGCCCTTCTTCCAGAAATTCCCAGGGTTCTTTAGCCTGTTAAAGACTCCCAAAAGCCCTCCAGAAAATCCCCTCTTAGAGTCGATGTCCCCGTGTGACTCGGTGTGGAACCTTCGTCTGTGGCTGTGGCCGGGTCTGCATGTGAGGAGCCCTGGGGGCCCCCACTGAGGGCAGGCGCCTCGGGACTCACTGAGCCTCGGGGGCAGGGACAGGCGGCAAGCGGAGGCTCGGGGTTCCCCTGCCTGGCACTTTTGAACCTTTTCCTCTCTTTTTGATCTCTTTTTCAGGAAATCAGAGAGATGGTGGCACCTGTATTAAAAAGCTTCCAAGCTGAGGTAAGACCCAAGGCCAAGGGCATGACCTGGAAGTGCTCCTGGGCTCCCTCTCCTCCAGACTTGCAGCTTCAGGAAGTTGCTAGAAGTTTCCCTGTCTCCACTGCAAACTCTGCCCTGTTTCCTCCCCATTGGTTGATAGTGACATCATTTTTTTTTGAAGTGTTCTCTTTTCTCTTTCATGGATTTAGGGTGTAATTCCAGGAGTTCTCAGTCCTCCAGACCTGCCGAGTCTGACACTGGCTCGGCTGCTTGAGATCCAGGCCAGGGTTAAAGTCGGGCTGGTGCTGTGAGGCCTCTGCCCTCGGCCAGCATTCTGCCCTGCCAGTTCCCTGAGGCAGCCTGGCAGGCACGTCCAAGCGGTCACCAGCCAGCTCCTCGTGGCAGCCCACTTCAGAGTGTGTAATTCACACTGAGTGTGCCCTTTCCCACCAGCCCCTTGGGCCTTGGTTCCCCTGACGCCGTGCGTCACTTGCCCTCCTGGAGCCCTGAGGTGGGGTTTTTAATCTCTCCCTCCCCCGGGCGTAACTTTATGACCAGGGTTCTGGGGACATTGCTGGCCCCGTTGGTGCGGGGGAGAGTCTAGGAAAAGCCTTGGATTGCAGTGGGTCGGGAGTGAAAGGGAGAAATTCTTTCCTTCAAGACTCTGTCCTGTGGGGAGGACGCACTTCTCTGTCTTCCCTGGGCTCTGACAGAGGCAGTGGAGGACTGACTAGTCTTCTAGAATTTTCCACTGGGAATGAAGTGAAGTCTGTCATCCGCCAGGCGCCACTTTAAACCCGTCTCTCTGGGACTGCGTAAGCACAAAAAGCAATATTAAAGTAAACAATAACTGGGTTTACACAAATGTCGCCGATTTCCATATTTTTCATCCTTGCGTTTTATTGCAGAGTTGGCTGGTGTGCTTATTTATTTATAGGACGATCCAGTATTGATTCATGTGGTTACTGGGTGCTTGGCCTGGGGGAAGAACAGCAAAGACCAATAATGCTGAGGGTGTGTTCAAGGTTTGGCGTTCTGTCTGTTTGTTTTCAGACACTCTTCTCTTATCATTAATACTTGCTGGAAAATGAAGTTTGACATGATTTCAATTATACCACGTTCTTAGAGATATAAACCAGTCATAAAGATGCAGCATGTTCACAGGGAAGACGGTCATCTGCCCCAGTTTTATAGTTAAGCTAGGAAGGTCCAGGGCAAATGGTTCTTAACAAGTGGAAATTTTAGGTCCATTCCGTCTGAGAGTTTCTTCAGTCTTCTGAGTATGTTCATTCACAGATGAGAACGGGCACTCGAGCCAGGGTCTCCCTGTCATACCTTCCCACGTGCCGACACATTTTTACACACACTCCAGTTTCTTTAAGATAAGGGGGTGACTCGCAGCAGAGCACACAGATCAGAGTCACGTATGCAGAGAGAACCTCTCCGTGCGCCTTCCCTTCCTTTCCTCTGGGGCTGGCTTCCGTGCGAGGGATCTGGAGCGTCGCAGTCCTGTTCACCCTGCTACCAGGTGGGACCCTCTGCTCTCCTCAAACAAGGTTTGGGGTTTCTGATAACAGAGGTGCCTGGTTTCCCGGGGATACTCAGCGCTCAGCCCACCCAGAGGCAGCTGCTGCGTGGAGTGTCTCACTTCCTCAGCGCGTCCCTTGTTGGGTGCCTGGGAACTGACCTTTCATTGCTTCCCGGGGACCTCAGCCTCCGTGGATTTGTTTTGGTGTATTCAGGATTCACGTGGGGAAAGGCCCTATTTGCCTTGTGGTTTCTGGAGCACTGCCGGGGCTCAGGGCGCACAGATTCTGGGTGAGCCTGGGTTTGAACCGCAGCTCTGCCGTGCCAGCTGACCTTAGGCAAGTTACTCAGCCTTCTGTGCTCTCATTTCTAGTATGAAATAGGGTGAAGTGATAGCTCCTGCATGAGATTGGGTTGGAAGGAGAGCAGATCATACTCACGGAGTGCCGAAGCTGTTGCCCTGCGGGTGAGGAGCCATGAGTGGGTGTACTGCTCTTGTTATCAGTGACCTCGGATATAATTGATTTAGTGATAATCATGCCCAGCTTGGACTTGGTCTCCTTTATAACTGGCTGCTCAGAACATTTTAATCCACAGGCAGAAGTAACATTTTAAAAAATAAGGCATCTGAAAGAGCAGATCCTCTTAAGCTCGTTTTAAAAGTTCACGCTTTAAGCTACAAGGAATATTAGATAGGAAAAGCAAACACAGACAGTCTTGGCGGTGTGCTCCTGTTGGTGGGAAAAAAAAAGGCAGGCGAGTGTTTCTGTGTCCTGTTGAATCTGCACCCAGTGTCTGCACCGGCTCGCCATGTGACAGTGGTCACTGTGAAGGAAGCTCGACGCCTGGAAAGCAGGGATGAAGGAAGAATCGCCCCATGTACCTGACTATTAATGGCCATGTTATTGACATGAAACTTCAATATAAATTTTAATGGTGTCCAGGTGCCCTCTGTACCAGTTCAGCTGTTCCCTACTGAAGATTGGAGTGCTCAGCCTGCAACTGAAGACTGGTCTGCAGCCCCCACTGCTCAGGCCACTGAGTGGTGGGCACCACCACGGAATGGTCTTAAACTGTCTTTTAAAAAGTGGAAATTTAAAAATAAAAAAGGGGGGGGCGGGCGAAAAAAAAAAGTGGAAATAAGGTTGACAGAAAATAAACAATGCGTTTCTTAAAAAAAAATTAAATGGAAAAAATATATCTCTTAAAAAAAAAGCTCCTGTATATTCCAAAATAATATGTAGTCATGCAAATGACACATCCTTGTTTACAGAACATGAAGAAGATGTGAAACGTTTGCTGCAGAAGATCAAAGACTGCACCCTTCAATGTAGAATACACCTCACCATCAAGGAAACAAAAATCCTCACCCCCTGAAAACAGCACGACTTGTCAAGGATTTCATTTTACGCAGGTCCACAATCACCGTCCATGACAGCAGCAGCGAGGACGTTAAAAGATGTGCTGCAGTGGGGAGATTCACAGTGGAGGGCGCCTCTGAAGTGCTAAAGAGCAATGATGTCAGCTTGCAGACTAAGGTCCGCCTGCTCCAAGTCATGATCCTTTTTTACTCCTCTGCCTCTGGATATTGGACTATGACTAAGGAGGACAGAAGAATTGACGCCTTTGAACTCTGTTGCCGAAGAGGACCAGCTCTCCCAGGGAGTGCCGTAGGAACCAGCAGGCGTTTCTTAGAAGGAGTGCAGTCAGCGTGGCCCTGAGAAGATGAGGAAGCTCATCTCACAGACTTTGGGCATTTTATCCGGAGGGTCCAGTCCTGGAGAAAGACCTCGTGCTGAGGAAAGTCGAAGGTCAGAGAAAGAGAGGAAGTTCCTCCACGAGACCAGGCACGGTGACTGTAACCGTGGCCTGGAGTGCCAGAGACAGCACGGAAGTGCAGATGGGCCCAGCTCAGACTCGCCCTCTGTCCACAGGGTCACCGTGAGTCACAGTTGAGTCAGGGCGCCCAGCAAGGCTAAACGGCTTACGTCATGTTGTCAGTGAGAGAGTTAAATAGCAGATTCAGTCAATAATCAGAAGCTCGAGTGACCGGGGGAAGTCACTTAACCTCTCGGAGCACCCACCCCCCTCTGTGAAAATGGCCAACGGCCAGGATTCTGGAAGTCACTGGTGTGGAAGCCGTCATCACAGCAGACCCACGGCTGGTGCCCCGTAAATGCTGAGGGAGGGATTAGTTGTCCCCAAAGAGGAGAAAGCCGAGTTCTCAGCTTCAAAACCCCGTGTGGCACCTTTCATAGACACCACTTTAACAGCTTAGCATCTCCAAAGAACTCCATTCGTTTTCTTAAGAGGGTGTCCCGTCCTCACTTTAATGTTCCAACAAAACCACCTTGGTGTGGCGTTTTCTTGCCCAGATTCCTGCCTTACTCCTGATCTGTTGCCTAAGCCATTGTAGAAGCTCTGCCCGTGCCCAGCTTCGGGGAGGCCTGCGGGGGGCCTGGGGTTGGGGGAAGGTGTTCAGAAGGGTTTGTAAAGGCCTCTTCCCTGCCCGGGACCTGCCGCTCGCACGCCGCCCACTTGGAACCCAGGGCTGGTTTTCACTTTAATTTGTTCGTGAGGGTCCACCCCTTACACTGCTTTCCCCTCGTAGTCCACTGGCTCCAGGCCCGCACTGAAGATCGCCAGGTAGGCATTCATCATGGTGCAGAGATCCGTCACGTAAACCAGCCGGGAAGATGCCAGGCGGGTGCACGTCCCGCTCCCCGTACCCAGCACCGGCCTCTCGCTGAAATAGAACAGGCCTTGTGTAGCCAGAACCTGAGCCGCCGTGCGTGTGTGTGTCTGTGTGTGTAAGAGAGGGTGTGTGTGGAGAGGAAGGGAGGCTGCCCCACTCTCTTCCCTCTGCCTTGATTACATAAAGGACAGTTTTCATTTCCTGGCTTGGGCAGACAAAGACAGCCCGAGAAGGCGGCTGTGTGGAGACAGCTTGAAGAGGCCAAAGTCTGAATATCCTTGCACACAGAGAAAAGAGCAAGACGAAAGCCCCGCTAATTACAAAAGTTGCTTTATGAAAGATAATTCAAAGCAATAATTTAGCAAACATAATCAAGTCGCACAGATGGGGTTGTTGATGGATGGATTGCAACATGCAATTAGCAGTTCTCGTGGTTACATATCATTAACCCTCCGAGCACAAAAATTATTTTCTCATTATTAGTTGAAAAGGTAAAATTAAGCTGACTAGACAGTAAAGGAACAAACTACAATTAATTACCTTCATTTATTACAGTCATTATTTTAAACTTATTTTTACTTGGAGGGAGACATGAAAACATCTAAATTAAAAGTTTTCTTATGTGAAGTCGGAGGTGAACCTTTCTAGACGTGGGCCCTGGCCCGGCCACGGAGCCGCCAGAGCCACTTGAGGGAGCTTCAGGGTCGTGCGCTCCCTCCCTCCTTCCCACGATGAACCCTGGCCTGGATGCCAGAGGCTCTTTGGGGTTGGCCCTGAGTGGAAGCATCCACCTTGGTCC